CGGGTAGCCTAGTGGTTCAAGCGTTCGCTCGTCACGCCGAAGACCCGGGTTCGATTCCCGACATGGGTACAATGTGTGAAGCCCATTTCTGGTGTCCCCCGCCGTGATATTGCTGGAATATTGCTAAAAGCGGCGTAAAACCATACTCACTCACTACACATTAAAACTTGATATTTGTCATTGTAGACATTCCATCATAGGGAAGGAATCGACTCAACTTAAAAGACAGATTTAGTAGATTTGATTTAATTAATGAGAACGTGGCTTGACATCTCTTTCATATACTGGCGGAAAATAATATTTTCAAATTTATGTTCATACATTTTTGCTTATATACTGCTTGATTTCTTTAGGGATATTTTGATCTTTCCAATTCTCATAATATATCAAGGGTATATTTAAATATGTCTGACATATTTGATAATCCCTGTCAAAAGGGGAGTAGTATATATTTGTGTCACTTGTTTTATTGATACATGCCCTCATGATATGACCCGTGTATCGTGGCACAGAGCATCGTAATGCACCAAACATTCAATAGGCACACCCCTACTTAAAATAGGTGAAAGTTGGGTTTAACCATCATACCTCGTCATACACTTGATATTGGAGTATATGAAATATGTGGCCAGCATGTTTATAGTAAATAGCATCCTTATGCGTCAGTGTTGATAAAGCAATTAGTCTGATGTTGTTGTGGGTGTGTTAATTACCAGCTGAGACTCTGCCAGTAACGAGGGGAGTTAACGAAGTAATTACACAACCTGGAGCGTGTCACTAACATGCAGAGGGAGATTTAGGCCCAAACTGTAGCTGTACGTGTGTCTCGTGTGTCTCGTGTGCTGCAGGTTTCACACAGATAGGGAGTAATCGCAGGCTTGTGCTTGAGCATGTGGTATGGTGTTATATACAGGTCTTTTTAGTGTGTTGGTGTGTATGTGGTATTAATATTTTTTTATTGATCATTTGATATGAGTCTTTTTAAGTGCATTACTGCTTGTATATTTATGTCTACCTGTTGTAAGTGGTTAGCACTTTGTATAGGTCATACAGTTTTTTTTCTGTCTTTTTGCTCCGATCTTATGAATAGTTTTTGTATTTGTACTTCAAAGAATTCTTTAGCTGATGAATAATTGCTGACCATGAAAAATCAATACAGAAATAGGCAAGGAAGCAATCACAGTGCTATTATTGTATGTTCATGTTCAAAATGGTTATTAGACTGAAATATTAATCTTAATGAATTAATATTTGGTTATGACAATCTTTGACAATGAACAGGAGGACAGTGTGTTGAGCTGAGCTGAGGTTAGCTTGCTATATGTCACGTGACTTCCATTAACTCAGAAAAAGCGTGCAGCTCTTTGCTTTGAAGCAGGGTATAAGGGATTTATTCTGCCTCTCAGAAATCCACGTGCAGCCTGACTTGCTCATGGTGGGGTATAAGGAATTTATTCCCCAGCTGAAAAATTTATTCCCCTCCAAGGTGGAATACACAGTATTTTATCAAAATCAGACCTCATGATTCTGACATGGAGGTATGACAAATATTGTCGTGGTTATCATTCAAGCACACACAGAAATCCTACGCCCTGCATTAGCGCCAGAAGCTTGTAATGTGTTAATTTCTCCAGTAAGGCATCAACGGTTGCCTGACTGTATACACTACCACACATTCTCAGCCAGGTATTTGGCCTGAATAAACATCAATATTACAAAAAGTGCCAGATTTCTCTACTCTCCACACAAAAGGTATTTACAATGCATGATTTAACATTGGTCTAAGCTGCTTGAGTCTGGAAGCTAATATTTAGCTTTTGTCAGTTGTCGGTTGAGACAGGCAGAGAGATGGATGTTTTGGTACATGATGGAAAAATAATTGCTTCATATGTTTCTAACTGTATCACGTAGAAAAACTTCCTTTTGTACTGTCAGACTTACAGTTATGAAAGACACCTATTTCTTCAAACACTAGATTTATGAAACAAAATGATAATATTTTGCAATTATCTTCCCAAAGTACTCATCTTGTAGATGTCTGGATATGATGTTCAATCTTTAACTATTGTGACTTATCAATAAAGTATCTACACTAAGTGTATGCTGCCATTATAGGTAGATCAACCTTTCATGCCTGTAATTATATTTACTCAAATGTAGCGAGTTTGTTCCCTGCCCTGTGAGGGTTTTCTGTACAATAAAAGTTCTTGATTCCTTATTCTTGCTGACCGCCTCCGTGGTCTAGTGGTAGAGCGTCTGCCCGGAGAGCGGAAGGTCCGGGGTTGGATCCCGGGCCGCGTCATACCAAAAGACATTAAAAGATGGTACTTGTTGTTACCCTGTCTGGCGCTCGGCATTAAGGGGCTAAAACAAGGACTGATCGGCTCAGTATACTGTGTCTGAGTGGGGTATTCATGTTAAACTTGCACACACACACACACACACACACGTACATGCACGTCGCTATATAAGTGTAATAATCTTGGACGCGACGTTAAACCCCATTTCACCTCACCTCACCTCATTCTTGCTAGAGGAGATGGGCTTTTAGGACAGAATAGGATTTAGGTTGTTTAGGTTTCCTATAGAAATGTTCTTCTTTTGCAATGTTCTTCTGGTATGCCGGATGGTATATTGTAAGGAAATGTGAATATCAATAATGGGTTAACAAGAACATGTATGTGAGTTACATTAAGACCTTTTTAAATTTTTGCTGATTAGTTTACTGGGAATAACTCCTGGCTTCTTTCTATAATGTAATCTCAGCACAATGACTGTCATATCTCCCATATATCTAAAAACAGTCTTATGATAGTCATAGCGCGAACATCAGTTTGGAGTCGAGCACTTGTCTCCTGTTTGCTGGCAAAATTGGTGACCTTTAGACTATTCTTTTAATTGATGACCACTTTGGAATATTAACTTTCCCTGGAATGATTTATTGTCATTTGTCATGGAGATGTGCCGCTGATAATAGCATAAATTTACTCACTTATCCTAGTTTCTCAAACAAATATTCGAAACTCCCAAGCAAGTCTGCAATACTTTGGTAAGTGTAGGCTTCAGTTTCAGGATGAGGAGGTTTTCTGGACTCCCTCTATTATATATCAAGACAAGAAAAAAACAAATCTTAAAGTAATTTCATTTCAAACGCTAAGGTGGCGGTCGGGTAGCCTAGTGGTTAAAGCGTTTGCTCGCCACGCCGAAGACCCGGGTTCGATTCCCGACATGGGTACAATGTGTGAAGCCCATTTCTGGTGTCCCCCGCCATGATATTGCTGGAATATTGCTAAAAGCGGCGTAAAACCATACTCACTCATTCACTCACTCACTCAAACGCTAAGAGTCTGTCACCCATCCATATCAAACACCTAATATGGAACCTTTATCAGGCAGTTGACAATGAGGTTCTATTTGAAGAATGATGGTTCAGGACATACTGGGTTAATTTTGATAAATATTGCCCCCCAAAAGTACTACTTTTCCTTGTTGGCATCCCTGGGCAGTGTGTGCAGTGTCACATTTAGGCATGGAGGGAATGTGTTGGATTAATCCTACAACATACATGCTTCTGCTTCCGTTTGTGCCATTTTAAATGAGGTGAAAACAAAAACACATTAGCAGATAGAGCAGGTTGTTTACAGACAGATGCAATTCTCCAGGGGTGGTCAGGGAGACATGCCACAGATTCCTGGGGTCAAGTATGCCAGGCATGCGTGAGGCGGAACCTATTATGAATGACCACTGGTCAAGATGCTTACCTCAGACATACAGTATAATTAGTTTGGTTGGTTGGATATCTCTGACCTTGTTAGGCTTGTCTCTTCAAAGTATCGTGGTATCGGGGCAGAAATAGATAACTCAGTGCTGGCATCATCCCTGAAAGCATGGCGGTACATCATACAGATATATGTAATTCTGTGTTACCCTGATGCAATGTCCATGGAATCATTTTAAATGGAGACTTCAGTTTTTATGCTGTACAGTAGAATTACCACCAAACACTTTGGCGTTAATTAACAGTAGAATTAACGACAAACACTCGACATGAACACCCGTGAAGACCCGGGTTAGAATAGGTCTTCAGAAACACAGCAACTCATAAGAGGCGACTGATGGGATCGGGTGGTCAGACTCGCTGACTTGGTTGATGGATGTCATCATATCCCAATTGTGTGGATTGATGCTCATGACATCAATCACTTGATTCTCTGGTCCAGACTTGATTATTGACAGACTTCCGTCGTATAGCTGTAATATTGTTGAGTGTGGCCTCTTACGACAAGCATAGTCGCCTTTCACAGCAAGCATGGGTTGCTGAAGACCTATTCTACCTCAGATCTTCACTGGTGGCCTTTATGTATATATCTAAACCCTAAGGATTATATGTCCAAGTTTCTGAGACTGTTCTTTGGTATCTATTGATCATGTTGGTTATAAAAACCCTTATGCAATGAAGAGTCAATTGTTTGGCCTCTGTAGAAAGCTGCAAGATTCAATCAAGCATTCCGAGGCTGTGCTTTGCTTTATCAGAAATCAATGTATTAACGCATCATGTTCTCAGAGTGCATCTTTAGCCATGGGGTTAAGGCGGAAATGTTGATTTTGAAAATGATTAAGAAAGCTTTGCCCTTCATTGTGGAAACATATTAGCAAGATTGAGAAAAATGAATTTACATCAGGAATGGCTCATTCAGCGTTCTGGCTGATGAACACAACAAAGGACCATGAACATTATCAGCTAATTACAGCCACATGGGGCACATGTCTTGTGGAAAAGGACCAAAATTGAACATTTATCACTATTGATTTCTAAATGATAATTAAGTTCTCTTTAAAATACTTGAGTGAGGGTTTGAAAAAATTGTAATGTTTTTCCCAATGAGAAAAATTATTATCATTAGTTAAAGGAAAAGGAAAATGTTTCGAAAGATGTTTTAGCATAATATTATTTATTATTAATAATTATAAATAATAAATATTTTTGCACTCTTTTGCAGATAAATCCCAACAGCAAGGCTTACAACGAGGGCATCAAGGTTGGGGACTATGTGTTTGCAATAAACGGACAAAGAGCAGATGGATTAAACCATGGGGATGCCCAGGCTCTTATTAAGAATGCAACGGACAATCTTTACCTCGATCTAAGAAGGTAAGAATAAGTTTTTCAGAGACAAAATAGAATTTCAGCTAATGAATGTCAAAACTGGAGTCTGAGCCATGAGGAGAAATTATACCACAGCTGTAATATTCCACAAAGCATCAAAGCATGACTATACTTTGGTGGGACGGTGGGGTAGATAAGTGATCAAAGCCTTTGCTTGTCGCCCTGATGGCAGAGGTATGAAGTTATTCCAGTCACGACATGGCTGAAATTATTGCTGATGTGACCTTTCATTTTAACCATGTTAACTCGCTGACATTGCTTCATATTTGGACTTGTTGTTACCTTGTCTGGCGCTCGGCATTAAGGGGCTAAAGCAAGGACTGGTCGGCTCGGAGTCAGTATACTGTGTCTGAGTGGGGTGTTCATGTTAAACTGCGGCATGGTATCTCAGTGAGCTAGCACTATAAATCGGCATCAGTCCGGACTAGTACAAGCAGCCACACAAACACACACACGTACATGCACGTTGCTATGTAAGTGTAATAATCTTGGACGCGACGTTAAACCCCATCACCTCACCTCATGTTTGGACAAGAGATAGTTTCTAAACCTGCAGGGTGGTGGGGTAGCCTTGTGGATATAGTGTTTGCTTGTCATGCTGAAGGACCGGGTTCGATTCCCACATGGGTACAACGTGTGAAGCCTATTTATGGTGTCCTCCGCCATGATATTGCTGGAATACTGCTAACAGTGGCATAACGCCATACTCACTCACTTCTAAACCCACAAGAAAACAAGACCTGGATCGTGGGTGTTATTTAGCAATTTTAACCTAGTTTTATAACTTCTTCAGTCTGAGTAAATATGCATAGTGTCATACAGTGGTTATAACAGTGTATTACAAAATGGTTCGTTGGAATGGCACTCAGTACAGTATTTATTGTATAGCGCTCTTCACAAGTGTAACATTTTGTATGGTCAAGATTGTGTCAATCTACACTCAAATTGAATGCCTTTGGTGTGTTAGGAAACCTTTCAAATGAATAGTTGGGGCTATCATCTTTAAAGCATATTTTAACACACGGTTGAAAACACTGCCACCATGGGGAAGGCTTTTCACATCAAGTGTTGTCACCAAGATGAATGAATGCATTATGTCTCCACAGTATGTACTGGGTCCCCTATTGAGGAAGTGAGTCCTTACTGAACACTTGTGTTGAGAGTGCTTCTGTTACAGTGGAGGTTGTAGGAAGTCCTCTATTTCCTGAATAGCTCTTGCCATCCCTGGTGGCAGGCCTCCCTCCCCCACAGCTGTGTACACTGCTCATGTAGCATCAAGTATACATGTATTGTTTGACCCGTGAAGATCCCGGGTAGAATCGGTTTTCAGCAACTCATTCTTGCCGTAAAAAGCGACTATGCTTGTTGTAAGAGGCGACTAATTGGATCAGCTCGCTCACTTGGTTGATGCATGTCAACGTATCCCAATTGCGTGAATCGATGCTCATGATGTCAATCACTGGATTGTCTGGTCCAGACTCTATTGTTTACAGACCGCCGTCATATAGGTGGAATATTTCTGAGTTCTGCGTTCAACAACAAACCAAAAAAAGTAAGAAGTTGACGGATGACAAAGTAGACACAGTTTATGGATCACAGCTTCCATATTTACTGTAATGGCGGCATTTCAGTATAGATTCTTATACTGTTGTCAAGGAAGGCTGAATAATGAACATGGTACAGAATATATCTAGTTGTAGGATTAACAGTAACATGTATGCAATTGTTGTTACTGTTAATCCTCCAAGTATAGAGAGAGCAGAAGGTCCGGAGTTCAATCCCTGGCCGCGTCATACCAAAAGATGTTAATATATTGTACTTGTTGTTACCCTGTCTGGCAGTCAACAAGGGGCTAAAACAAGGACTGGTCGGCTAGGAGTCAGTAAACTGCGTCTGAGTGGGGTATTCATGTTGAACTGCGGCATGGTATCTCAGTTCTATAAAATCAGCATTATCTGACTAGTACAAGCCACACCAACACACATGCATACACGTCGCTATATAAGTGTAATTATCTTGGACGTTTAACGCCCATTTCTCCTCACCTCACATCAAGTTACCTGATACAGCTAAGAATAATGTTCAAAACGGCATTAAACTCAACTCACTCTCATTTAGATCAGTTTGGACCAGTGGTTGCTGTAGTTTGACTTTCTGATGAAACAAATAACCCTGCTCGATTATCACTCATCGACATGTCCAACTTTGTACATTAAAAGAATGATTTCCTTTCGTTAAATTCATGCCAATAATGGATTGAATAAATACGAAACTAAAGTACAGTATTCAACCTAATAAGTGCCCAGGGCGCTCTCCAAATTAGAAATAGGGGGCTCTTATTAGAATATTATTTTGGTGAAAAAAAACCAAGAGTTGAAAGATCGTAAATTTCGTGGTTTAGGCTCACAACTTGAAATGTTTATGTATGACATATATGTTTTTCCAGAATTTAATTGTCCTTAGTTAAGGGTGCATATAACATACGAGTGTGTATTATACACGAATAAATAAGTCCTGTGTACATTGATCAATCGGAGTGAGTGAGTTGGGTTTAACGCCACTTTTAACAGTATTCCAGTTATATCGTGGCATGTCAGCTTAATGTGGGAGGAAAGCCCGAAAGTGATGCAGGTCTCAGACGTTTACCACTTCAGTGAAACCCACGAGCACGGGTATGGTGCTGACAAACCTAGAAACATAATCGGGGCAAACCGGGATTCCAACCCACAATTATAGGTTTCTGGCGTGCCCAAGGGACGCAACTCTGCACAGCGAATCGCGGCGCCTTAGACGACTGGGCCACCCATGCCCCCTGATCAATCGGAAGCTAATTGGGATTGTTCACTGGCCAATATAATAGCAAATACCCCCGTGTGCGCTTATTAGAGCATGGCGCTTATTGCGTCGAATACGGTACCTCAGTAAAGTTAATGATGGGCTGCACATGGTATCGATGAATAACATCTGCCAGAACATCATCTTGTGACATGTAATACATTTTTGATCTGTGAAAGTGTGATGGATATCTAATTGAGTTCCTGTGGTAATTAGTTATCAGTCGGTGACAAGTGACAACTTATCAGATATTTTACATTTCATAATCAATTGGAGAAATAATGTAGGCATGCCGTTGGGAAATAGCTTACAAGTGTTGAATCACACTGATTAATTCCATATATCATGATGTGGAGTTTCCTGGCCCTGAGCCAGATGTAATAAAGATTGTTATTTGTGGAATATGTATTAGTTTGTTGCTCAAAGAGAACATAAACAGAGTCGTTATGAATAATAAAATATTATTCCCAATGATTATTATTTGCGCTGAACTTGATCACATTTTTTTGTTGCTTCAGATTGTAAATTGATTGTTCATTCCTTCTCCAGTTTTTTTATATTACATGTATTTGCAACTGGATCTTATCTTGGATGGCCCAAAGGGGATTCCAGGGCAAAGTGTGCCCTGTACTCCATGTTTGTAGAAGGTGATTGGTGAAGATTGGGTAGTTTGAGCAGGCTGATTAGGTGCCATCTTGCGCTGATGGAGTGGATTCGTGCTCATACAATTAACCACTGGTTTGCCAGGCTTAGACTTACTGATAATATACAGACATAACATAAAACACTGCAGCTGAAAGATCACTGACTGTGGCATAAAACAACATTCACTCACTCACTTAACTCTGATAGACATTAACTAGCCAACAAATGTACATATCCACGGTATGGTGATTTCTTGTCAAAATCATGGTTTTGTTTAATTAACTTTAAGAAAGTCAAGAATCGAATGTCCATATATTCTCTATAATAAACGTTTAAGCAGCAATTAAGTATGTAGTTAAGTAAGTGCAAGAGTGAGTGAGTGAGGTTTAATGCTGCTTTTAGCAATATTCCAGCAATATCAGGGCGGGGGACACCAGAAATAGGCTTTACACATTGTACCCATGTCGGGAATCGATCCCAGGTCCTCGGCGTGACAAGTGAACGCTTTAACCACTAGGCAGTAAGTGCAGGGAGCAGTAACACAGTTATTTGACAGTCACATATATCATCATCACTTTACAAGCCAGATGCCATAGCCAGACTGTAGGTTATCAATGTAAGGGAGAAATGTGACAACAATATAAATGTTGAAGGTGCAAGTGGTGTGTGTAATTATATCACCTACATCGATGCTCATGTAACGCTTGCCAAATAGGTCAGCCCTGACAGTGAGAGGCTCACCTGTAGAGTCAGCCCATCAGGTCTGCAATCAAAATAAACCTTTGCCAAGACTCTTCCCATTGGTTCCAGACATTGGGTTTGGGTTTCTTCTGTCTTATCTGTGCCTGGGAAGAAATAGAAGAGTCACATCTGATAGGTATGGAATTATCACAGTTGCTCTTTGTACTCTCGTTAGTTGGGTGCAGGGATGCAGATTGTGGTCGACACATCATGAAATTGTGTGCAGCAGTGTTGTTGTATGTCCTGAGAGTTATCTCCCCTTTGAGGTTGGAAACATGTGGCTGGGCAGCCATGTAGGTGGAACAGCTTTCTCCTCGCCTTATGGGGCAGTAGGGTAGCCCAGGTGTTAAGGTGTTGGCTGATTATGCCAAAGACCTGTGTTGAGTTTCTGTCTTGAGAATATATGTGAAGCCTTTTTTAGGGTGTCCGCCTCTTCCTCGTTTCCCCCCCTCCTCCTTACCCCCTGCTGTGCTATGGTTGGAATGATACTTAAAGTGTCATTAAACCATTTTAACTCATTCACTTTATGGCCGTACATGAACATGTGTAATATGATGAAGAAGACTTTTTGTTGATCTGTGCAAGTATCAGTTATTCACATTAATTTCCATGGAATAATTGTAGACCAGGATTGCCATCCAGCTTAATGTTTTACTAGTAAAATCTGTTGACTTTAAAAACTACTCATCAAAACTTCAAATTTTGTTAGTCATACGAGGCACTTATATTGACGGGTGATCAGTGGTTGATTTTGTGTTATTATA